ATTTACTACAATGGGGCCATGAGGTGGAAAGGGAAAGTGGGTGCTTCCCCCACTTCTTCGAAAAAATAGGGGGAACAAGAAAAACAGAGTCAACTGGATCAAATCCAAGTCCAAGTCACGAGTCACAAAGGTCAAGTACAGGTACAAGTCAGAGTCACCTGTCACCATGTATTGGAAACACATTTTCAGGTTCTGCAAATGTTTCATTGGCAGAAATGAATCATTTTTTCCTCTAATTTCCTCCTGCAGAATTGGCATGCTGCACTTGAGCTTCCGTTGCATTTCTATCAAATTGATAACCCAAAAATTGACGACTACTGGTACTCTAAGAATGGATGCCATAACTGATCTCTGTGCTTTCACAAACACGCAGACCGTACTGATGTCAGATCGTCAGACCCATTTATAACAAGCTGCAACTGAGATAAACTTGGAACAGGAACACACATGATTCAAGTTTTTGCTTGGCAAGGCACCAGACTGCATCCAACAAGAATAGTCTGATACATCATCGTGTATTAATGCAGTATCAAATTTGGAGTCTGAGTCCGCAGCCCTGAGTCCGAGTCATTTGTCAAAGTGACTCGAGTCCAAGTCATTCAAATATGACTGGAGTCAGACACGAGCTCAAGTCTGAGTCATGAGTCATACGAGTCTGCAAAGTACTCCTGATACATGCAATGACACTGAAAACGTTCATCAGTGTTCTGGTTCATTTTTCCTTGGAAAATTCCATTCTGTCTCAGAAAGGGTATTGTTTTAATATTCAGTGTTTTGTCATAAGTGGATAAGCATTTTAACAAAGTTTTAAAGCAGAAACAATCTGTCTCATGACAGGGTGGAAGTTTTTCCCTGAAGTTAAATATTCAATACACAATTATTGAATAACCTGCTTTACAGCAACGCTCTACTTTAATGCAGTACCGGTACAATATTTATTAGGCTGTGTTCCCTGAATAAGGTTCTAGGGGGAAAATTTGAAAGAGTTTGTGGAATTTTTATTTTGCATGATATGTAGAGGAACTTTCATGGACTTTTCTTGGGGTTTTCAGGTTGGAAATGAGTAGAAAAGCTGCCTTCAGATTTTAGAAGATTTCAAATTTACATTCATGCAATACAAGTAGCACAAATTTTGAAACAAAGTAAGTGTTAATATAGCCAAGGTTCCATTGAAGTTACAAGGGTCAAGCTTTATGAGAAGTATGAGAAAGTATCGAACCGATCTCTGTTTTGTTGAGGGAAGGCAGGTTTCAGATTTGCCATCTATCATTAATCTGTAAGCTATTTTGTTTTGTATAAAGTCAGATAATTAATCTTTTTGCTCTTTAAATAATGTATTTGTTACAAGTCTAAAAATACTGAAATTCATATGTTCTCATTTTACTGTGCAGGCCTTTTGAAATCATGTGCTGAACAACTTCTTAATGCATAAAGCCTCATACAATGCTGACATCCATGTATATTACATTATTCATTGTGGGTATTGTATAAAGTCATAAACATACATGTACATGTACATATTGATTTGGCTCTTGACAGTTTAATGTGGTGTCAGCAGAAATTTGTTGTTTTATCAGACAATTTCTGGGATTTTGCTTTTTTGTGGATTTGGCAATGTCTTTATTTCTTGTAACTGTTTAATTTTTCCAGTTGATAATCCAACAAGCACTGAGGGTCAGATCTTCCATATTAACTGAGATGAAAATGTGACATTCCTGGAACAATGCTCCAAAATCAATAACAAGTCACTGTCATTGGCATCCCAAATTGTGAAAATCACACATATAGTGTTTGTAAATGTTCTTATGCAGTGCACATTTTCCAGGCAGGTCAATCAAAAATATGTATGGTTTCAATTGACGTGCTTGATACATGTCAGCACACAAGCATGAGCCCATGAATTTCAAATGATCCCAACAACAAAACCATACATGTACAATGTACATCAAATTGAGTTGAAACTCCAAATCTGTACTGACAATGAGAATCTTTAGATAAATGTATGTCAAGTTTTAAAAGAGATCCACCAAGGGTCAGTCAAGTTTTTGGGGACAGAAAGCACCCCTCCCCGGCTGAGAGATGGTCTCCTTATCTCCCCTTCCCCGGGCTATCTTAGGGTTAAGGGCAGTGAGCAAGCATCCAACCCCTCCATTCTTCGGTCTTAAATTCATTCCTTTCCCAGCCCTGTGGTTGGTTGATCAAAGTTTAAACTGTCTTTTGCTTTGGTTCTTCATAAAGGTGAACATATCAAATGATAATTTCACACTAAACAATATTTTGCTATCTCCAAACAGCAAAACTTTCAGAGCAAAACAATGTGTAGTACGCTTGATCTCCACAAGTTTTCTAATTGCTAGACCAAAGTTCTTTACCAACTACCGTTGCTGAGAAATACTGAGAAATGTGAACAGTTATCTGCTGTACTTAACTTACAGGGTATGATAAATCAACAGTACTTTGCTTGGGACATGCACAAAATCAAAGGATACCCAAAATCCACAAGTTTTAGCATAACAATCTGTGTTCTGCAACACTGACTTCTGATTAAAATGCAAGGTCATGAGAAGCAGATTACGAGTCAACAGTTCAATCTTTTTTCCTCTGTGGGCAACCATGAAGGTAGTTCACTAATATTTGGATTATCATTGATTGACTGTGCTTTCATCCAGTCACAAAAAAATGGACATTCTGTCAATTAAGGGATCATTTCTATCCTTTCCAAATGACCTGTGAAGGAACTCAAGGCTCTTTCTTCAGCTTGTGAACATTGGTTAATGATTTTTCTTTCCAGTAAATTTTACTCCAACCAGCACAGTTTGCCTTGTTTTTCACCATCATGTTCCAGAAAGGTCACTACATGTACATGATAAAAAACCTGGTGTACATGTACATGTATGGGTGCATGTGTAAAGATTTGCCATTACTACAAAGTTGCGCGCTACATGTACAATGTACATGGAAGGGTATTTACAGGTGGGCATTTACAGGTATGACTGAAAGTTAATCGATAATATCCGATCTATCGATTTTGCTTTGATATTGATATGAATGATATTACTTTAACATTAAAATCTATACGTCAAAAGCGGGGAGAGATAATGAAAAAAAATGAAGCTATAAATTATAATTAAGTAGCTGTTGTTATAGACAATAATATCTTGTCTTGAAATAAAAGTGTCCGTTTTTTGTGGCCAAGAACAGCAGTCAGCAAATTTACCTTTGATTTGTTTTTTCCTCTTCACAAAAGATTATGGTAAAAAAGTAACAACTATGTGGTGTACAATGATTTTTGCATCGTTTCATACATTTGTACATGTAAAAACTTGTGTGTATTAAGCACGCTGCACATTTAGCATGGCACTTACTACACAAGAGAAAATGCAAACTGTAAAATTGTAAAATACCCTTGTGTCTGGGTACCAAACCTCTTGGTTATTGTACGCATGGCACAGCGGAGCTCTGATGGCCCAATCTCATTCCCATGGGTGCGATCTTGCCGTGCCATGTTGGCTCCTACCATACCTTGCGCGATCTAACCCTTGGTATTGGATAATTTAAATATCCCACTATTTGGGATACTTAAATTAGGACTTCAGTCAGTGTGTTTATGTGAAACACAGATCTACATGTACATGTGTGTGATGTGCAAGCGAATACGTGGGCATGAGCGAGCAACTTTTGAAATACGTGTGCGATACACTTTGTGCTTAATACCCAGTCAATGTCGATTTTGTATTCTACATGACCCAGGGCTAGTGAAAGAATGTGCACGCAGCCCATGGAGTCGAGGTTGCTGATGGCCCGAAGCAATGCTCGAAGACTGTTTTACATGTGGCTGTGATGTTAGGGTTGCACTACACCAAATATGCACCCATAGAAAACAGTGCAAAGACAGACCGAAATAGCGCTGCCTGTTGACTCTAAGGAAGAAGTTGGTTTCCGTTTTTTCACTGGAAATTCAAGATTTTTTCATACGCCTTTCCCTGAAGACTGAGGTACTGTCCTGGGAAGCAATGAGCAACTAAACCAGGGTTTAGGCTAGTAAAAATCACTATGTCAATGCATGAAGCTGAGATCATGGACTGGCCAGAGTATGCTGTTTATGCATGTCTTCGCATAACTTTGAATATACCGTTCTGACTACAGGCTATTGGTGTTGTCAGGTGCTCTTTTGTTTGGGGACCATTAAAAAAGCTCGGAAATTCGAACAGACCTATCACGTGCTGTACGGTTAGGAGCAATTGGTAGGGGCCTAAGCTGCCTAACCCCAAAAGGTGTTCAGCATCATGCCATTTGTTTTGAGCTTCAAAACATTCTTCGAAAAAATTTGATATATCGGTATTATTGATATTGGGCCGCCGATATACCCGGGATCAATCTATAGTCGACAAAGCTTACTGAAAGGCCCCTTTAGGTTTGTACATTACATGTACGTGTACATGTATGTAAAACATATATATTTACAATAGTTACTGATCAATGTGTTTATGGGATGATTCTCTAATACATCATGGCTACGAGTACAAGGTACTGGCACTGCCTACTGGGTACCAGTGCATCAGTTTCGGTACTGAAAGTCATATACAATAAAACATTTGAAAGACAACATACACATTTTGGGTACAGTTTCTTTTACATGTAGCTTTACTGTGTATGAATATGATGCATAACAACAGATTCAGACATAAAATCAGTGTACATGTAGGTTTGTAACACCGTATCTACAGAAAAAGAAATACCACTTTAACTTTTTGGGCAAAATACCTCTCATGTACATGTACGTCCTGCAAAAATTTCTTTGAGAATCTTTCCACTTCCAATGCACTTTTGTGGGTTCCAGTGTACGCCTGTCCTGTTGTAACTACATTGTACACCACCCTGACCACAAAATTCCAATGAGACAATGCAAACTGAAATTATTTTTAAGCTGTACACCCACACAATCGACTGAACAAGTACATATCTGTCTATACATGTACATGTACCGGTACTTTGACAGCAGACAAGTACTGCACTTACCAATTATCAAAGGTGATAAGGCAAAGCACTCATCAGCAGTGATAGTCTAACCCACTGTCCAATTTGTCTTGGACTGAAATTCCAAAAAGTACATTATTTTTAATATATCAGCACTACGCATTGCAGCCCCAGCCAAGAACTGATAGTGATGTTGCCATAAATGCGTACACATCAAACAGAGACAGCAAGTCACCCCAGCACTGGTATCCACCTTTTGTGTGCTTCCAATCATCTCTAGTGTTAGCCTACGGGGCCTGGGTTCAATGCAGTTAACGTGACAGCTCCTGAATAATACCCATCAATGTTTGTCAATGGTACTTACATAAGGCATTTGGATGATGCTTCAATTGGAGTCAGGTATTCTTCTGAGGGTTTGATCTAGACAACTAGTTTTTTCCTCTCGTACCGGTCTGCACTGCTCTTTACATTCACAATGATCTGCAATACAAATAGTGAAATGGGTTGATCCATTTAAAATAGGGTTGCAGACTACAGAAGAAAATGGGAAACAGAAATTAATGCATCTTCTTAACAATGAATCCTCTTGGTGCTCACAAATGCCAAATTCACAACCGCTAACTTGAAGGTAGACCAAAGGTAATGTAGTTAAATTACATTTTAATGTTTAAGTTTCTTTATCTGACAATCCTGGCTTCCCAAATGGACCAATCCTATCACAACGCCTACAGGTGTGCTGTGATACCAGGTGGACTCCTACATGTACATGTATGATGGGCATGTTTCATTCAGAAACAGAGTGGGTGTTCAATTACATCAGCTTTCTGTACATGTACATGTATACTCTTCATGATTACATGTACAGTACATGTAGGTGTATAAGGGAATAATTAGAAAGGAGACTGTCCTGCAAACTGGAGCAAGTACAGCAGCTTCTGATCAGACTTCAATGAGCAAGATCTCGTGTGACAATGGGAAAGGTCAAACACCTTTATTTTTCAAAAGGTTTTGCAACGCATGCTTGCCTCAATCTTTTCCTCCAATACATACATGTACGAGTGTACGGTATGCAATATACAATTTACTCATGTCTTCCCCCATTATCATATTGCCAGTAAAGCTCTTTTATTCTATTGAAAGCAAACAGAAATGAGCTGAACCAAAGCATAACTTGAGCACACTTTCTTCTCTACAGTACCTTCTCTTTACTGATCTTTCCAACACCACACTTCTGTGCTATACAGGTAGCTCCATGTACAATTTGAACACATACTGTCTGCACATCCCCCTTTTCTTATAACAAGCAAAATACACCATGATCAAGTACTGCAACTCTCCCTTGCCATTCTTTGTTTGGCAATACGGCATTCTGAGCAGCTACATATAATGTACATGTATGTAATACACGGCGCAGATTTCCTCCTCTTTGGTTCAATTTAAGTTGTGGTAAAAACTTCACCAAGGTAGAACTGTGATTGTGGTTGGAAAATGCCGGTCACTAGAAACACATACACATGTACAGTACACAACAAGGCAGATGTGCAAATTTCTCACAAGAAATAATGATGTAATGTACAGCCATGCCATCTGATTTCTTTCTTAGATTAGAGGCCTCTTCAAATATTTTCTTTTCTCACCTGCCCTGTCAGGTTGACAGTAATGTTTAAACTGGAGAAAACCAATCCTACAGTGTAGAGAAGAATAAGAAAACCCATCTACAGGCTGGTTCATACTTAGCGCGAAAGCAAACATAAATGCAAATTTCTGACATCAGATCCAATATTCACTTTGTGAATTCTTAAAAGATGAAGACATTTCAACTAGAGCGAAATCTTTGTGTCGTCAAATTCACTTTGCTTTCGCATTCGCCAGCAGTATGATCCGGCCTTTACAGATATTTGAAGAGGTACAGTACATTGCAATTGAAGTTTAACGCTGCGAAAAGGATTGAGAAAAATTGCGAAAGGAAGTTGCATTTGCATTTTGACCACAACTTTTCCCCCCTGCAAATTCGCAGCAAATCAGATGCAAATGGGGCAAACAATGTGTGAAAATGGTGCGAATTTTTGCGAACACTGCATGAAACATTTGGGGAAAAAAATTGGTGTGTGAAAACAGTGTGAAAGGTTGTTAGAGTAATGCGTAAACTTGAGAAAACAAAAAGTGTGGTGCAGTGAAATGCTCCACACTGGTCCCACATGTACAACTACATTGTATCATGCATTGAAGAGTCCATTCTGAATGCTGCACTGCACTTGGGGCCGCGGCCGACTCACCACATGGAGTGTGCTGTTGGGCACCAGTAGTCTGGTGCTAGTAGCGATCACAGCATCACTAAGTGCAGACAAGCACTTGGCTGTCCATGCAGCGCAATTGCGACCACGTGCTCACCACCGAGAGCCGTGCCAGCGTGGGGGTTGTTTTCTTGGATTACCATAAATAAACACTCGTCAACGTCGGAGAATAAATTTTAAAAGTTGTCTGGATTTTGAGTAATTACATGTACAGCTGTATACAGGAGTCTCCGAGTCATGAAGTCACGGAGTATATGAAATGTGTACATACATGTACATGTAATTACAACAAACTCAACTTTCTCTGCCGTGGTGACATTGCTGTGATTATTTTCCCACATATTATTTATTTTCATGGTGTAGTTTGGCACACAAATAATCAACATTTAGATACTTAATGTAGCATTTGGTTACCTAAAGATTTCTTTTTACTGATAAATAAAATCAGCCGCTTAAATTGTACGTACATGTATATCTTCATGTAGCAAATCGTGTCTTTTCACCGATAGTGTTCAGCGTGACAAGTCAAGTCTGTTTTCATTGGGGTTATCTGACATAACACTTTCTGTGGTCACATGGTTCTTGGAAAAATTCGGCAATTGGACTGTCCATAAATGGGTACGTAGTTAGCAGTCGGGATGTCGCGGTGGGTGTGGATGCAGTGCATGTTTCATGATGCAGCATGCACGAGGTCCTGTGGCAGTTTTTGAAAGAGATTTGGTGATTTTTTTTATCGGCGTCACGAAAACGTCAAGATAACTGGGTACAAGGCATTTATTCTGAAATTATGGTACAAACATCTGTCAATACATGTAACCGTAATTCACATACATGACAACATGTGGATGCACGTACATATATATGTACATGTACATGTACACAGAAGTACCAGTACATGCACATGTGTGGTACACAAGTTGTGCATCCATCCAGTCTGTTACAGTGCTGTTACGTCCTCTTGAGAATGCTATAATAGAAATCTACTGTAATTCAGCTGTTCCGGTGTTCATTGCTGGTCTCTGACCTCCACCACAGCCAGCTTTGATTACACCTGTCGCATTGTATTTTGCTCAAAACCGAGAACACACTGACTTGAAATTTTAATGCTGTCTTCTTCAAGTAATCTTCTGGAAATTCCAAAGACTGAAAGATTATACTTTTTTCTCAGACTATTTATCCTCCACTTTCCATATTCAGAGATGCGCATGTTTGAAACCACAGAATGAAAGACTTCCTTATGTCTCCATGTAAAAGCATAAATGCTACTTAATGAAGAAAGCGCGCAAAATTATTTCCCCACAACCAGAGAATTATGTGAAAATCTGTTCCCATTTGCGGGATAAAGTGTGAAAATATTTTCCCACTTGTGGGAAAAGGTGTGAAAATCTTTTTCCACTTTAGGTAGTTTTTCACAATTTGAGAAATGAAAACGAATTCCCTGGGAAAAGAAACAGTGTGAAAAGATTTTCCCGTTTTGGTCTTAACTTAAATCATGATGTACATGTACTCGTGTACTGTACATGTACATTTGCATCTGTCAGCATATCACATACTGATAAACACTGCAAAGCTCAGAGTGGTTTGGAGTACTCTGAAAATGGAATAGGTTTTATACTTCAAAGGCTTCCTTCTGAAGAACTGAGCTTGGCATTGAATGCAAGGCATTGACAATTCTAAGCTCAGCACACCTTTCCTTCGTGAGATCCCATCTGAATGAGAAAGTTATTTGTAAATATGCATACATGATATATCTGGTCAAATGTCCTGTTCCAGGCAAGTATGATTTTTTAATATTGGAACTTTTGTGCAATTTCAACATTATTGATGGAATCCATTGTAAGTTTCTGTATTTGTGAGCACAGTACCAGTTTTGTAGTCCAAACCATTTTGTCTAGACCAAGGACTGAGACTGAGGTATTCAAAACTGGGACTGAGACCAGCCCTCTCCAGACACAGACCAAGGCTTTTCCAGGGCAACACCAAAAGTGTACATGTATGTACACGTAGGACACCGTTAATGAGGCATTTCAGATTGAACCCAACCCTAAACCAACACGTCCAACACGAAAGCCCTTTCACACAAGTGTTGAAAACAAGGGTCCCATGCATTGCAATTGGATCAATGTCACAAAATAGAAATATTGTGTCATGAGACAGAACATCCCTGCCACCAAAATGCATGGGGCACTGTGAGTTACATGTACCGTAGTTGCATGGATAGAGACATCCAAAATTTCAAACTGATGCAAAATCCATGCGATGATGATTGCCAGGATTGGTCTTGTACGGTATGCACACCTTGCTGTTGTCGTTGTGCAAGTGGTGGTTCACTAACTTCACTGAAAGCTACAAAATACTACTTTGTCATAAAATGTAGCATGCAGTGCTGTGGCCTGCATGTATGTGAGTACATGACCTTATTGTTCTCTGAAGCCATAAAATACCAGTACAATAGATAAAACAATGGATCATAAAGTGCTGAGGCACTATGAATACATGACCTTATTGTTCTCAATAAGGTTAACAATGGAAGTGCCCCAGCCAGAAGTAGCAATTTGTAGGGCTAGGTCCTTTAGTGTCATATTACTATATACATGTACATTGTAGTTTTGGGAGAACCGAGTCCTTTACCCCCGGTGATATGCCAGGGGGTTAGGGTTAGCTACATGTAAGGTTGCACTACACATGCTCAATGTGCAACCATAGATATCAGTGTAAAATCAGTGAAAAATAAAACGGTCTGGTGATGTTCAGGAAGGGAGTGTGTTGCACTAGAAATGCACTGCTGTGACAATTTTCTTATAAAGTTCACTAATGTTTGCCTACTCATTCTTTTAACCTTCATTCCCCCAAATAGAGGTACTGGTACATGTACATGTAGCAGTCAAACTTCAGCCTCAGGTTTTGAAAGATGTCGCCCATATCTGTCCAAATTGGGCCCAAAAGTTAGAGATTTTGTGATTGAAATATCCTGAGCTGGAAGCTGCGAGCCCCCGAAAAACCTTACTTGTAGAAAAAGTTCTACTAATGGTCCTAATTTTGGCCATCTTGTATTGAAAACAACCTGTGAAGCTCACACTCAGGAATCTAGCAACATGTATTGTTGGTAAAAAGTGCCCCAAATCTATGCTGCATGTGGCTACTTGTGAGTCAGATGAATGAAAAGCACCCATGACCATTACATAA